AACTTCGCCGAATTGGGCGATGCCGTCGTTCACCGGTCGCCCTGCTAATTCGCCTACTTTAACACAATTAGAGCGGCGGCGAACACAGCTGATGCAATTATTTGACACTGAAAATTTTTTCTGCAGAGTGATTGAAATATCTGTACATTAATTTCAATATGAATGAAATCTCGCGGTTAATACGCATTATCAAAATTATAAATATTATGTGCGTGATGGTGAAGATGTATTTGCTTGTGCGCCAACGATTAAAGAGGAGATGGTGGGTACGTCCAGTAAATCTTACTAGACAACGTCTTGGTTTCCATGAAACCTGTTTTGCCCAATTAAAACTGAACGATAAGGAGGATTTCTTTAAAGCAACACGAATGAGTGTCACCAAGTTCAATGTCCTTTTAACTCTGCTTAGAGAAAAGCTTCAACGGTTTTCCAGGAGAGAACCAATAAACGAAGAGATCCGCTTGGGAATTACTTTGACGTAATTAAGTTCATATAGATGTAAACACATTTAAGTAACCAAAAATATTCCCTCAGATACTTATCACAAGGCTGCAGTCCACAGTTTTTGGCTTGGACCCACAAAATTGGCGTTTCTACAATAAGAAACATAATTTACGAAACATGTGATGCGATTTGGAGCGAATTACATTCAGTATATGTTTCCCCACCAAATGAAAGAGAGTGGAAGGACATTGCCGACAGGTTTGCCAACAAATTTTTAGCCTGTGTGCTCAATAAATAATGTTTTCATGTACATATATGGAAAGGTTTTATGTGAAGACAGGAATGCCGCATTGCCTTGGTGCAATAGACGGTAAACACATAAGAATAGTTTGCCCTAAGCGTAGTGGTTCTCTCTACTACAATTATAAAAAGACATTTAGTATCGTCTTAATGGCAATGTGTGATCCCGACTATTCGTTCGTGTTTGTCGATGTAGGTGCGTTGGGAAGCCAAAGCGATGGTGGAATCTTCGCTCGTAGTGCCTTTGGAAACATGATACTGAGAAACAATCTTGAACTTCCTCCTGCTGATAATCTTCCCGGTAAGTTAAATATGTATTAACATATACAGGACTACGGAGAAGGTCGTCTTAGATACTTAAGGAAATTATTATTAAGGTCACTTCTGATTAATTTGGTCATATGAAATGATGATTAAAACGTAACCGTTTTCGAGATATTCGATTTTAAAGATTATTAAATAAATATTTTTGTTTGCTTGTACGACAGTTATTTTTAAATGTTAGTTCAAGGATCCGATTTTTTTCTGTTTCAGTTAAAGAGTATGCGACTTAAACAAAATCATCAATAAAATTTGAACCAGGCTCTGACAGATACAAATGCCTGCTTGATAAAATTTTCAGAAGTGTTTCTTACTTAACATCATTAAAAAATAACTTTTGTATGGAAACTATTCTGTAAATTCTTTTAAAAAGTAGTATGTCCTTTTAGTAAAATGGTGTTATACTTCAATCAAAGAAGTAACCCGAAGGCAGATTGCAGGTTCAACATGTGGAGAGTAAAATTTCATAAGAAAAGAATTAAAAAATACGTTAATAAAACAAACAACTTAACCTATTTATGCATCATAATTCCCATCCACATCGATATCGCCGCCCCTATTCCCGACCAACATTCTCATTTTTTTCCTTAAATTAATCCATTTAAATTTGGGACATTAAGTCATATAACCAAATTAATCAGAAGTAATCTAAATAATAATGTCCTTAAGTATCATATCATATTAAGTAATGTCCTTAAGTATACATATATACATATATATTATGTGTAAGCATTTGAAATTTCATTACTAGGTACAAATACAAGATTTCAATACTATTTTGTGGGAGACAACGCTTTCCCCCTGAAGCCGAACCTAATGCGCCCATATCCAGGTCGGAATTTGTCAACAGCTAAGCAAAACTTTAATAAAAAACTGTCATCTGCCCGAGTACATATTGAAAACGCTTTTGGTATTTTGGCAAATAGATGGCGAATACTCCACACGACTATCCACGCAGCACCGAAAAATTTGGATAAGATAGTACTAGCCACAGTAGTTCTCCACAACTATTTAATGCTTGATAGAAACAGCGGCTACTTCGATCCAAACTTAGTAGATCACGTAGAAAATGGGGTTTTTACACCAGGGACATGGAGACAAACTTCGACAGGAATGACATCCATCCGCATTTCCCAAGCCAACCGTTCTACAGCTGAAGCATTTCAAGCGAGAGATGAATTGGCGGAACATTTACTCAATAATTAAACGTTTTTTTATATTTTAAATGCACTTTATTTCCATTCATTTCATGCTAATAAACGTCCATTTGTTTTTCGTACCGCTTGAGCTACTTAGTTAAATACAGTGTAAATTTATTGAAATTCCATATCCAAGTGTGATCTTCAAGGTTCTATGCGATTTGTTTATATATCAAGAATCATATATGTGTGAAATTTGTACTCATAACTTCACTCCAAATAATAATTTCATAAAAACCAAGAGTCTGCCATGAAAATTCAGTTTGGCACCATATAAAGAATATAAAACTTAAAATTATTCATACATACATAGGTTTCCTGGTATACAGTTTTTACTAAAGTTCCTACTCTGGGACATTTGACCATCATTTCACATAAAAAATTTTCCCTTGAACCCAAATATGAAGTTAGATATAGCCAAATTTAGGGTTTTTGAGATCTGGAAAAAGTACAAACACATAATTGCAAATTTTTTGAACATAGCTGGCCAATCTTAAAATTTCTAAGTTTTTATAAAAATATGGTTAACTGTACAACAAAACCCCCGAAAATCAGAGTTCCAGATTTGTGTCAAAAATCAATTGTAACTTGTATTGTACTAAAATTTAATGGGCTAACAAACTGCATACTCAACTTTTTTTTAAAGAGGGCAAATAAAAAGTGCAGTATTTGAATGAAAATTTGTAGAATTTTCTCTAACTTTACACAAGATCTGGAACTCTGATTTTCGGGGGTTTTGTTGTAGAGTTAACTATATTTTTATAAAAACTTAGCGAAACTTAAAATGTTTTAAAAATAGTTGCCCGTATTGCAAAAAATTCTGTGTACCTAAACTTTATTGATTAACGGTATATGACTGCACTTTTTCAGATCTATAAAAGTCGAAATTAACCATAAATGTACATATATCGAAAACTGGTATACTTGATTATATTTTCATATTTGGATTCAGCAGAAAATTTTACATAAGCAATGAGGTCAAGTGCCACAGACCAGATTTCTTGTAAACTAGAGTATATAAAATGTTTTTTTTTTAATTGAGTTAAATTCACTTTAGATGTTATACATCGATTTGTACTATTAAGAACACATCTTTATCACAAAAACATTTTTTGAATGCATTCATCAGCCGCTGAAAACTCCTAAAATTATTGGAGACCTGCCTTTTTTAATTCATCATACACTACCGCTGCAACTTTACATTCTATGTTACACACATCTCCTTGGGGCAACTTAGCTTCGGAAATTCTATTCGCCAAGCTTTCAAATAAAAGCGAGGTCGTATTTCGCACTTTTTCTGGAGGATTTGTAACAGATGTCAACTCTTTAATAGCGTCTGAGCATTCTTGCATACATCTTTGAACACAGAGGTTACCTCGGCATCCGCCTTCTTTTTTGTTTCTTTCCTTTGGTTCAAAGAGGGCACACTCGCATCTGCATCAACGATTGTAGAGGTGGAACAATCCGCCAAATCTTCAAATAAGATCTCTGGTTCAATATTTCCAACAGTTCTGCAAACAAGAAAAAAACATAAAATACCATCAAAAAATTAATCGTTGCTCCATTAATAACACATAGAAACTTACGGTCTTGAATCAGCGTAATCGTCCAAAAAACTCAGCAATTCCATATATTTCCATTTTTTGCTGGGATTCGGAGCGCCACTACCTGAGGCCAGCAGTTCCGAGCGCTTTCGTTTTTTGTAAGTGTCTCGGAGTCCTTTCCAACGTTTCCGACAAGCGTCCGCTAACAAATAATTTGCATTTAGTTAACAAGTAATCCCATGAATAAGAAAGCATTTCAGCAACAATATTTGTTAATTTGTATTTGATTAATTGAAGCACATCACTTACCACTCATATTCACAGACTGAGCAACTGCTTCCCATATTTCCATCTTTTTGTACACATTTTTATAGTCACTTGAAGCCAAGTTGAATAAACATTCGTTTTGTCTGATTTCTTCAATTAATAACTCATTTATATCCATTTTAATTTATGAATTTATCAATGAATAAAACACAATCAAATCTTCGGCAATTCAAGTTAATTTATAGATGAAATCGTAAACAAAAGAACAGCTGACTTTTCTGCTTCTATTCCCTTTGTAAAATAGGGTGACCATATATTTTAAAATGAGACCTCACATAAAACAAAGGCAAAGCAATAAATTATAGAATAGTTTAATAAAAGAACGAACCTTTAAAACTTCCTACAATTTGAGCAAGATTTTACAAATAACAAAATTACAAATTTATATATAAATAAAAAAGTATTGCGTTTTATTTTCTATCAAAAACATTGAGAAAAAAAACATACGGTCACCTTTGATCTAATTTGCCGCTGACGACTGGCGGCAACGATAGAAATAAAACTATCTCGGCGAAACGGCGCCCGGCGAACTTCGCATTTCGCTTTGGCTGTGTTCAATTTCATGTGCTTGTGGGTGTTCTAATTTTGACAGCGCGAATTTCGCTGTGGTGAGTTCGCCGTTCGCCGGCATTGTATTTCAGCTATTACGAGTGTTTATATATCGAGTTCAGTGAGCCCATATGGTTTATAGATGCACATCGAGTCTATGAGTCCAGATATGAGAGATAGATAGAGAGAGAGAGAGAGAGAGAGATGCGGGCAGGCCGATGAAGCGGTAGCCCATGATGTGACCCTTTGACCATGTATTAATTGGGGGACTCCGTTGGAGGAGTAGGCTGCAGTGCGATGAGCTGGGATTTATTCAGGAATGCCTTAGTACAGAGCTCCATTGTGGCTTGTAAGCCGCAGCATACTACCATACCAAAAATTCCTCCGGGAGTGGAGTGTGAGCGATGCCTAAAGCACCGTGTGATAGCTAAGCAGGGTTAGCGTTGATCATGGCTGAAAATGCCAGCGACTTAACACTTCACTAAGTTCTGCTAAGAGATATTTGAGAATTGCATAAAAGATGCATACTCAATTCAGAACGAGCGAAATACTTTTAAACACTAGTGCGTGTGTATGTTCGCTGCACTTTGTTTTTAGCGGGAGTGCAATACAAGTGCGTGTGAGTGTTCGCTGCAATTGGTTGGCTGGTGAGTATACATTTAATAATTACATACTATGAATGATATTTCTCCGAGTTAAAATAATTGAATAAGCTTTGATATGTTTGTATCAAATTTTGCATACGCTCCTCTTCTAAATCAAATTTGTTTGACTGGAATATATCTTCAAAAACAACTTTTCATTTGTTTCTTCGTATTTCTGCAAAAACCACTCTCCTTACCAATGTGTTTTGTCTAAGCTATAAAATTGTTTAACAACTTTCGTTTCATCAATGGCAATATCAATTGATTGATCGCATAAAAGTGACGCCACTCGGTTATGGTTGCGTCTGCTACGCATACGCATATACATACGTGTATGTAATGTGTATGTGCTTGGTAAACCCATCATAGATGCAACCGTCAATGAAAGTCATTTGAAAGTCAATTGCAAGCAACCAACAATCAGCTTTTGTGGCAAACATTAAAATGACAAATAAAACGTTAACAACACCAATGGGTTTGCGCAAATGCTATTTTATTTGACTGGTTTGTAAGTACATACATACGAGTATAGATACATATATGTGCATTTCTAAAAGCAAAACCATATAGAATGTGCATAGAGGAGCAGCACAAGAGAGTAGGTAATGATGGGCAATTGGCACTTGTCGGCTGTGCAACCAAGCATAATTAGCGCCTATAAAGATTGTGCGTGTGTTCTTAGAGTATGCGTTTGGGCCATGCCAGCAAATTTTCGCCAACAGCAGCGGCAACAATGCAAGACATACAAAGCAACATTAGCAGCTTATTTTGACTCCAAGCCATGCAACGCATGCAGTCATGCAACAAATTGTTTATCATTAAAGTGAATTAGTTTTTCAATTTTCAAATGGACGCCAGAAAATAAAGTAGCAGCGAAGTATTTAGTATGTAGCAAAGCAGCTTTGGCTTTTAACGTAGTAACTTTTTAATAAGCACTCTTTATCGCGGTAGCAAGTGTGCTTGCTCCTCGCAATAATGTTGCATGCAACATGCGGCGCTAATGAAAATCATGGACTTATTAAAATGGACGGTATCGATTCTCATAAAAGATTGGTATACAAAGATGTAATAAAAGTGCGGAAAAGGGTGTCACCCATACCCAAGGCCTCTGCATGGATTTATTTGGGAAAGCATTAGAAAAAAAAATCGGTTTGGAGATGGACTGAGCTTAATTTCGGCAATAAAATAAAACTTGTATTTACTCACATATTATACTTATTTTTTCATTTTCTTTCTGAAAATCTTCGGAAATGCTTCTAGAGTGCCATAATTTTAATCCAAAATCTTTACCCAAAATATTTTGCCCCAGTGAAGAGCTGAGAGGAAGCGTAGGTCACATACTGCTCACCATCGACTTCATTCCGTATCGAAATATGGTAGCCTGCAGCACCACGTTCCAGCATAAAAAGGTCAACCGGGCTGCGTTGTTGCCACTGAATCCCCTATTCGATCATGTTGGG